GCATACGTTAATCTCATTAAAACCCGTTTTTCAAGTTTCCATCCGGTAAAATGTATCCACAAATATTTTTCCTCGCGATTGAACAAAATCATTTCGGATTTGAAAATTCTTTTGAGAGTTACGTTTTTGATGGTCTTGTAGCGGGCGGGTTGCATGAAAATCCACGCCGCAGTTCGCTGTCCACGCCGCGGTTTGCTGACACTTCTGGCTTGCTTGAAAGTTGAATACGCGAAAGGCACCACAAATCGGCATATGGATACATACATTTCCTCAAAAATTCTTAATAATGAATTTCTTTAATGGAATGTTACTAAGTAGAGGTAGAAACACCGTAAAAAGTAGCGTATTGTTATACTGGTGGTTACAATTAAAATAAATGATGCCGATGTTCGGAGTTTTGCAGCAGAATGTCCTAATTAAGTATTCCTGACGATACGTTGCCATTTGTAGCAGTGTTTTTTTTTTGTCAATACTTGTGAAAAAATGTGGAATGCTTGTGGACAGTTTCAACTTGTAAACAAGTGTAAACAAATGCACCGCCCCTCAGTTAATTTTCGCGACGTGTTCCATAACTTAATTAATTTTCGTGACCCGGCCCTTCCCAACTGGACGGCCTCTCAGGATCTCTCAGCTGCAGTCTGGCGGAAACACTGTCAGTGACAATATATAACGTGAAAATTTCCTTCGAGATCATTACTCTCAATACATTTACAATTTATCATTTGGTGTCTGAACATATAGCCATAATCGCGTTGAAAAAAGGGGGCGTCAAAACATAGGGCTGTCGTAACATAGGGCTGTCGTAACATAGGGCTGTCGTAACATAGGGCTGTCGTAACATAGGTCTGTCGTAACATAGGTCTGTCGTAACATAGGGCTGTCGTAACATAGGGCTGTCGTAACATAGGGCTGTCGTAACATAGGGCTGTCGTAACATAGGGCTGTCGTAACATAGGGCTGTCGTAACATAGGGCTGTCGTAACATAGGGCTGTCGTAACATAGGGTATGAACCGAATAAACATACGGGTACGTTTATTTTTTTTGGCCCGAACATCCACCCAGTACGTTCTTATTTTGCACAGTATGTTTATTAATTTTTTGAAAACCAGTAATTTTTTTCAACTTCGTGTGAAAAAAATTGACAAATCATCGACGTGAAGACGTTTATAAACGCGTATTGTAGCAAGAAACTTGTCATTTTCGGGCCGGTTTTTGCAATCACCGCGTGCATAAATTTGTCTGAATGTTCTATTGTCATGGGTGGTGCTTAACAAAATACGAAATATTAAATGCTCTTTTTTTTTGTCTCTTTAAATTCCTAATTGCAAATAACAGTTAAAGATTTGTGCATATATCAGTAAGGGCGCATTTTAGTACAAGAGACACAGGTTACCCGTCAATTTTGGTAATTTTCCGGGGGGTACGTTTATTCCAGGGGTATGTTTATTTAATTTTGAAGATTTGTCCGGGGGGGTACGTTTATTCCGGGGGGTATGTTTATTCGGCAGATGAGAGTAACAGTAACCGAAATATTTCTGATGTCTACCTGCACCCAAGGACAACTTGAAGCTTCTTGCTGCACCTAACCTGCACTGATCCATGTACTGGACATATGTAGGTTAGTACAGGTAGCTGTGTATTTCTGAACCTCCTTGATCATAGCATTGAATATGGGATCACAAGATCTCATAGTCCTAGATCTAAGATAAAATGCATCTACCTTCTCCTACTGCAACTGAAGTACTCCTACCTTTTCTACAACACTGCCTTCCACCTATAGTTTAATACGTTACGATATAAGGACATAAATATATTATAATAGATTTATCCTAAGTTACTAGTACGCCCCCCTCCCCACATACGCACACTTGTGTTTTGGATACAGATTTATAATACGAGACAATGAGAAATCTTACCGAGCTCTCTTTTCCTCTCTACGTTCTCCTCCCCTGCATGTAGCAGACAGGTCAGGCTGTACGGGTTAAAGCTCGCTCCGTCCCGCTCTTTCTGCAGGTCTGGATTCATTTCGGTCCTTTTTGCAGACGACATTTTTAGCCAAATAGGGCCAGGGGTTACGTCACAGCCAGGAGCTAACGTTGTTTTGAAGTGGAATCTATCTGTGTTCATATGATCCTACTAGGGTCTTAATTACATGCGATTTTCCCTATGATACAAGCCTAAATCTTTTTAAGAGCCTGGACTTTGACAACTTCAAACTAGAACACCCTCCAGGACGTTGACCCCATCTAAAGTTCAAAGGTCACATAGAGACAAGAAGATCATAGAATACTTCCGGGGTACTGAACTTCAACTTCCTGTTTGTAGAGCGAAGCAAACGGTGTGGTTAGCGTTGGCCTTTGTCAGCCTCTCAAAGATCACAACATAATAATTTCACAGTTTTGGGAGAGTCAACTGCAGTTTCTTGCGTAACAGGCTTCAAATCTGTTCAGGTAGTAAGACGATTGTTGTATTTCGATATCAGAAATATCCTCGTAGATTTGATGTGATATGATTTTTGACGCTGCCGCGTTTGAACAAAGGACGTCTTTGGTTGGAACTAAAATTATAACGTTACATTGTAGTTTGAACCGGCTATCGGTGAAGTCAAACTTCTAGAATTCTATTCTAGACCATAGTTTGGAGGGGTTAAATTATTTCAGTTTTTAATATATTTTGCCGTTTTGTTTTCCGCGGCTCTCGAGCTCTCTGATAGTGATAGTGGCAAATAATATTATTATCAGGGCAAAATATGATTGCCTCACTGCCTTGCCACCGTGGAGGAGGGTAGAAGAAATAATGCGGCACGTGAGGGGTTTATAAAATCTTTTGAAATTTCGAGGTTTTGTTCAAAGACAAGTGAAAATTTAAACCTGTATTTGAATTGCAGAGTGAAAGTTTACAATTTATTGGTGTAAAATATAAAGCAGTTGACATATGTAAGGTATACTGTAAACCCCTTAGCCGGCCCCTTCCCGCCATCTGGTGTTCATTATTAATTCATAGCCTGACAGCAATTTTTCAGGCGGTTCACTAGATGATCTCTCCATTTGTAAATAATTTGTACATTGGGACTTAGGGAGGGTCCACTATTTGTCAGTGTGCTTTATCATTTAGAATATAATAATGGTGAAAATAAGTACCTAGCTTCGGTTAGGGTTAAATGGAGGTCCCGTGTTTGAGGAGAGACACACCTCAAGCACGTAAAAGAACCCACGTGAGTGGAAGTGGAACAAACCATTATGGTGTAAAAATGGGGTAGGCAATTTTTCCGAGCAGCCTCGTAACCCCTGCTTCTCCTAGTGGGTCAGTTAGTCCTCACTACTTGTGTGAAGTTGGGCTGGTCTCAATCATGATGTTTCTGACTCAGGGAGAAGAGTTGCTGTTTCAGTTCTACTCGGTAACCCGTAACCCAGGTGAGTGGTCATACCATTCAGGTGGTAGCACCATTCACCTTGAAGTGGCCTAATGGCCGTGTTAGGTGGCGACCAATAAGTAAAAAGAAAGTCATATAACTATAATTCTGGAGTGTGTTGCTTTAATGATTGTTCATCTTGTCTGTACAGAATTTGCACCAGATATACGAAAATGGCAACAACAAACACAGTGCAGAGTTTGGAGGAAGTCAGGAGCAAGGCAGAGAGTTTTTTTGTGCCATCTAGTAAAGGAGACTCAGAGAAACCCTACAGGTGTGAGGAGTGCAGCAAGCAGTTCAGTCAGCTGGGTAATCTGAAGACTCACATGAGGACTCACACTGGGGAGAAGCCCTACAGTTGTGAGGAGTGCAGCAGGCAGTTTACTGAGCTGGGTAATCTGAAGAGACATATGTGGACTCACACTGGAGAGAAATCCTACCAGTGTGAGGAGTGTGGCAGGCAGTTCAGTCAGCTGGATGCTCTGAAGAGACACATGCGTACTCACACTGGGGAGAAACCCTACAGGTGTGAGGAGTGCAGTAGGCAGTTCAGTCACCTGGGTAATCTGAAGAGACACATGCGGACTCACACAAGGAAGAAACCCTAGAAGCAAGTTTGAGGATTGTAGCTCAGTCAGCTGGTTTGCATGGAGTATCACTTGCGAGCTCACACTGGCAGTTTGATAAACAAGGAAGTCTTAGAAAGCACATGGCACAAGTATCCAAGAAAGATGGCATGTGTAAAACTACAGGACAGATGCTGGTTTGGTATTGCATACAAACTTTGTAAATTTCTAGATCTTGAAAAACATTTTGTTTAGGTACTTGCTTATTAATTATCTCTTCATGTGTATTCTTATATCAATTTTGTAGGTGTTAATTTTTGTGGCAATTGTCTTGCATAGTAAGTAGTAGTTTAAGTCGCAGTTGGCGAGTTGGCTACTAGTGTATTTCCTACATTCAAGTTTTCAGGTTCTTACTAAGATTATTAACCCATTACCTATTACATTTGGTTTATATTTAACTTTGTTCATGTTAACATATAGTTTTGTTACTTACCTTTTTAAGTTAAAAAAAAACAGAATAGAACTGTTGGATCTTATATTGTTATCAGTATATATGTTATATAACTTATAGGCTTCAAGTTTAGGTACAGATATGATAGAATGTTTTTTCTTTTAGTTAAAATTGCAAACTTAAACTTACTTGCACAGGGGACAACAGTGACTACTTGTACTCGCATTACCCTGAATTATGTACACTGATAAGTTACATCATTAGAACCCAACTGGGATACTATAACCTGTTCTTAGAGTCTTGCATTTGACTGGTCCGAATATGTACATACTATTGGGTATACTTAGAGGTAGTATTGTTGGTTATGTTGTTCTGTTACATTTTCTTCAATAAAGTTGTTTGATGTACACTTGTTTTGAGAGATTATTTGAGGAAACAGAACAGTTTAGGTATGGCAATAGCTACAGTAGTTTTTTTTATTACCAAATTTATAATAAAACTGTGAAAAAAATTCTTCCATTAAATTACAGAGTTAAAAAAATGAAATTTCAGGAATAGAATTGTGCAAAAAAAAAAAAGGCTCCATTAAGACGTTGAAAAATGAAGTTTTGTGCATACATATTTGGGTCCTTTCTGAATGCCTCTATAACATATAAGCTGTACTTTTGTATACGGTATATCACAATATGCAACAGGATAGTACATAATCTTTATATAAAAAAGATATATCCTTTTCTAGTTAACATGTGAAAGCATGTCAGAACGACCAGCATATATAATTGCAGCATGTATATTAGAGCAAGTGTTCAAGCCACACATAAATGTATAATGTTCAAAGCAGATGCTACGATGGCAATACAATATCAGAGGAGGGTCCATCAGCTGCTGATGGTTATAAATGCCAGTAGTAACAGACACTCCTCTGGCCAATGGATACCGTCTTGCTGCTGTAGCATCTGCTTGGAGATTAATAACTTCATTAATGGACACTCCTCTGGCCTTGATACCATAGCATCTGCTTGGAGATTATAGATTTATTCATGTTTCACCTGGCCAAGGAGGTAGGACCGTACCATCACTATTCTTGATGATGGTTTCCCCTCTTCTCTTTGATGCCCAACCAAACATTCATCATTCCTGGTGAATCTATAATGCAACGAAAGTTGGGACATTTGAGACCAGTGTATATATTGATGTACATGTAAAATGTCCTTGGACAGCTCGAATAGTAACTAGTATTGAAATAATTAATTAAGTAAGGCCTTTGTGCCCCCTGAAGAGAAGTCGCGTTTGGTACAGTCCAAATGCTGCAGCTGTGGTGTTGTAGCAGGGAGTGGTTGTCGTTTGGGGAACTTTCTTGGTGGAATTTTTATTTGTTTCTGGTGCTTTATGTATCTTGAAACGTCCATATACACGTAGTAAATAGTCTGGATGTTTCTGTGTTGGTTTTGTGCCGTTCTTTTGGATGTTTTGAGGGAGAAAATGCGTAATTTCTGACCTGGCGAATTTTGGGGAAGAGGATTTCAAAATGGCGGGACCGCATGGTCAGGAAATCAGGACCATGATTTTACTTTGCTGAAAGGTAAGACGACTATCTCTCCGAATTTATTTCCAGCTGTTAACATGGCAACAAGTTATGTTCCATCAGCTAGCTATGTTATATTACGTATTAAGTGGTGTAACGTTTAGAATAATATGTACTCTTTTTTGTAGTTTTTTTTGGGGGGGGGGGCGGTTTCTACTACTCAGTTTCTCGTATTTCATGGAGGTAGAACTGTTTCGTTGAATATTTGGTCATTTGAATGTCGTTGAAGTCCTTTTTTTCCACAGTTTTGTAATTTAGTAGTTTAGTTTTGTTTTGTAATTTGTATTTTAGTTTTTTTACCACACCTTCAATATTTTCCCGCCAAAACTGGCGCGCTGAGATCTGGGATCATTTGCATATCAAAAAAACGTTTTGACATTGAAACTCATTTATCAACAGCTTGTTTTTCACGTCAAAATTCGTGACGAGTTTTTTAATGTTTTATTTTAGACTTCTGTTTTTCCAACCAGCTACTTGGTGTTATATATTTACTGTGTGTAACTATAATTATTTTTGTCTGCATCATAATTAGGTAATTGCTAATAGAGTAGTGATGACTTGTGTGTAAACTTGGCAACACTGGATTAGACCAGACCAGGTGAATTGAAGACCCAAGAGGAATATCACGCGAGAAAATTATGACTTCTGCATTTTACCTATGTATTACTAAGTCCTTGGTATATCTGAGACAAGTGTGTAACTTGTTATGTGTTTATAGTTAGGTGGCTGGTGACTGAACCTGGCCACATTGGATTGAACCAGACTAGACCAGTTTATCTTAAGACGCAAGAACAATATCAGGTGAGAAAACTCTTAATTCTGCATTTTATCCACCATTTACATGGCGTCATTTGAGGCAAGTGTGTAACTTTTATTGTCTGTATAGTTAGGTGGCTGCTGACTGATCCAGTAGTGATAACTCCTGTCTGAACCTGACAATGTTGGATTGAACCAGACCAGACCAGCTGATTTGAAGACCCAAGAGAAAATTTGTAAGGTGAGAGAACTCTTAATTCTGCATTTTATCCAACATTTAGCA